AACACGCTGATCATGATACAGCTAACCGTAAGGCTCCAAAGTTGTCCAAAGGACGTCGTTTGGTACGAAAGAACGCATGGTTGTCGTTTGTGTGCGAATGTGTCGTTTGTTTATTATATCTTGCACATGCATACTCGGCTGCTGTCTTGCATGGCAAGAAAGCTGTGGAGGCAAAATCTCCCCAAGCCCAGTCCGATTTCATATCGAAATTCACAATTGCGAACACGTTATACGTCTCAAACACGAAGATAGAGCTTTGTCTCTGAAATTGGTATGTTGCGTGCAGGCATCGCCATTTGTGGCATATGTATATATATATATAATATACATATATTCTCGCAACATGCAAGGCAGAACCCTGCTTTATCTGGAACTGCTATAGCTCATAATAAGACCCCATGGCCTTGTAAAAACTATAAGGGGCTGAGGGCTTTACCCTGAACCCATGTAAGTTGTAGGCTCTTCAGATCGCACGAGGCAGCACCCAGACGGTGCGGTGGTGCCGTGTGCCGTCTCATGACGGCGACGATATAAGGTGATGATGGTGAGTATGATGCTCCGCATGGAGAATAAGTATGCTGTTCCGACGATGATCATGCTGATGCTGGTGGAGGTGATGATGGTGTTCTGATGTAGATGATGACGGCCATTATAATGAAGGCTTATTTACAGGTTAACATTGATTGTGTAGTAGCTGCAGGAGCAAGCATGCAGTGCACTACTGGAGGTATATAGTGTAAGCTATAATGAAAGATTTGGGCTTTGGGGGCTCTGGGTTCTCGTTCAAAGATTGAGCTTCGGCCCGGCTAAAGCAGAGGCTGTGCAAAGGGTGTAATTTTTGGGGTATAGCAGTGGTAGCTATTCTAAAAATTAAGGGTTGCCTGGCAACAACTAGAATCCACACCCATGAACCTTAAACCCGAAAACCTAAACCCCTAAACGCCTAAAGCCAGAGATCTCTCGAGCTACATGGCCCTCGCCCCCCAGTCCGAAAAGCGGAAGCCTTTCTACTCCCCGACCCTAAGCCCCATAGCTTGGAACGAAACCAGAGCCCCAAGCCCGAAGCAGTCGTCCCTCATGCCTACTTTTAGGATTGAGGGTTTATAGGGTTTAGGGTTTGTTGATGGACAAAATTCTGCATGACCCACGTATAGTATAGTACCATAAATCCTAACGTATAGTATAGTACCATAAATCGCTTATAAGTATATAAAATCATGCAGGATTTTGTCCATCAACCGTATCATCAACCTTCTCGACAACATCATCATCATCATCAGCATCATCATCATCATCGTAAACACATGTTCATCATAATATTCATCATCACCATCACCATCGTCATCATCACTATCATCACCCTGGCATCACATCATCGTCATCTCCATCAGAAAGTCATTGTCATTACCACCGTCATCCTGCGCCATTATCATCATCACCATGGCACTACCATCATCATAATCATCATCATACATCTGGAATCTCCACGGGCTGCGTCTCCGCCGCAGGTCCCTGTCAGGGGAACGGCAGGGCTTACAACGGCCCAGATGTTTTCTGTAGAGATACATTGTAAGATGAAGCTTTAGAGCCAAACACATCTGTCTAGAATGGTAAAGGGTTCGCCGGGCTTTGTCTTAAAAAAAATCTTGTAAGCTTCATGCACTTTGCTCCACAAGATCCGAAGCTTCAATCTGTTCTTCGGGATAGCGAGTCTATGGTAAACTTGGGGTCTTACGGTTGATGGACACAATCCTGCATGGCATTCTATACCTATAAACTATGGGATTTATGGTACTATAATATACTTGGGCCATGCAGAATTTTGTCCATCAACATAGTACCATGGCCTCTTCGCTTCCTACGTGTGTGGATGCTGCGACTCCAAACACGAAGAGGCTGGATCGTTTGCTGGGCAGGGCTTTGCAAGCGCAAGATCCATGTGCGAGGCATATCTGTGCATGCAGAAACATGTGAAGCTTGTGCAGCGATTCTGCCCCGAGCGGTGTTTGCCAAATTTGCTTTGGCTTTCTGAGTAGAGCCGCAGAAATGGCCAGCGGAGACCTTTCGATGACGCACCTTTGGGCCAACCTGCTCTCTCTGGAGGGCGACCATGAAACACAGAAGGAGAGTGAGCAGAAGTGGCGGTCCTGCCGTGCCGCGATAGCAACATGAGTCATCATGAGCATTATCTCATCCCTCACCTGCAACATCATCATGAGCATTATCTCATCCCTCACCTGCAACTTTCTCACAGTAAGATGAACCCTTCTTTGGCTTAGGCCCCGGAAAGGTTTCTTGGACCTTTCAAGTGATCGTGACGAGGATGCAACTTTTTGCCAGTTATCTCACGGCATGTAGTATGTTGTTCGGTGTTTTCTAAGCGGCGCATGAGTCTAAGGAGCGAGTGGCCCAGATGATGTTTGATGATATCCCCGAGAAAGCCGTTGAGATCATTCATGAAGGGAAAAAGATGAAGCCGGGTGCTACTTTGGTGCGAATTTCCAGCGACATTAGCCGACCGAGTGCAAAGGACATCGGCTTTCTCTCATTCATGCGTCATTCCGACGAGCCGTAGATAAAGGGCCCATGGGCTAACCCTAGATTGGCCAGGAAGTTTCGAACAACTTCGTTTGGCTCCGGGCGATTTGCACGGAGTTTCCACGCAAGGTGCATTGCCATGATTCGTGTCAAAGCCTCATACAATAGCTAGGCCTTTTTGGAATGACCAGGTGCCGTCCGCGTACTTGCTGACGGATTGCATGCTCCATTTAGACCGGATTTTGCGTGGCAAGCTCATCGTGCCTGCAGCTGCCGAGTCGAAAGTCGTTGCTGCAGCCAGAGAGGCTAAACGCCTAAAAAAACTGATGGGGACCTTGCGCACGCTTTACAGGAACAGAATCTTGTCTGCCATTTGGAGTGTCGGTAGTTCATTATATATGACCTTCTGCATGCACATACACAAAGGCAAGTCGTCAGCCGACGACAAGTTGCACTTGCTCAAGGGCCTCCTCAAGCCTGCTGCAGACACGGACCGGGGCCTATAGCAGGCATGAGTCAAGTCGAATTGCCGGGTCTCGCCAAGGACTCTGCGACCGAGGATGGCGGCTCCGAAGCTTCCTTATCCGAGGCCGAGGAGGCGAGAAAGCGGAAGTTCGAGATGTGTTGGACGCAGTGTCTATAGTATAGTCTTGGTCACGCAAGGACGGGAGCGAGGACGGCACCGAAGTCGAGGCTGCGGCTGCAGCTGCAGCAGAGGAATCCCGGGTGTTTCGATTCATCTTGTTTTGTCTAGCCTTGGTCATGCAAGGACGGGCGCGACGAGACCGAAGTCCACTACGAAGACATTGCAGGGCCGGCCCCCCTGATGGAGGTGGGGTGGCATTTCGTCTTGGGCCTTTTGCCTGCCTGTGTTTGGCCGGCAGTTTGAGCGGACGGATGAGCGCGAGGCTGGGTCGCCCTTTGTGCACATTTCTGTTGTTCGCTTGTTGCCCTATCTTGGCATAAGGATGGAACCAGCTCAGAGTCGGACCATCCCCCTCCGAACGAGGGAGCGCTCGTTGAGGTGGGAGGACTTACGAGCGCGGATTCGTGAGTTTTGCTTGTATGCCTCAGGCTGGGTCTCCGCGGGGTTCCGCGGCCTCAGATGTGGAAGCTCTTGCATCGCCAGACCATGCAGAGCCGTTGAAGGTGAGGTTTGAGATGCATGCACAGAATCGTGATTGTGTAAAGGATGGTTTGTGTCTAATGCCTGGCAGGATGAGTCTCCGGATTCCTCGACATCAGATGTGGAAGCTCTTGCATCCCCAGACCATGGAGAGCCGGTGAAGGTGAGATTTGAGATGCATGCACGGAATCGTGATTGTGTAAAGGATGGTTTGTGTTTAATGCCTGGCAGGATGGGTCTCCGGATTCCTCGACATCAGATGTGCTGGAAGCTCTTGCATCCCCAGACCATGGAGAGCCGGTGAAGGTGAGATTTGAGATGCATGCAAAGAATCGTGATTGTGTAAGGGATGGTTTGTGTTTATAATGCCTGGCAGGATGGGTCGCCGCGTTCCCCGACATCAGATGTGCTGGAAGCTCTTAAGTCCCCAGACCAGGGAGAGCCGGTGAAGGTGAGATTTGAGATGCATGCACAGAATCGTGATTGTGTAAGGGATGGTTTGTGTTTATAATGCCTGGCAGGATGGGTCGCCGCGTTCCCCGACATCAGATGTGCTGGAAGCTCTTAAGTCCCCAGACCAGGGAGAGCCGGTGAAGGTGAGGTTTGAAATGCACAGAGTCGCCATTGCATGGTTGTTGCAGCTTTTGCTTGTTGTGGAATAAGCTCTTCTGTGACAGGAGGGCCATCGTTCCGACTCGGAGGTGCGCTATATATGTCCCTTGCGAGTACGCATGCATGGTCTGCACATGTTACATCTTGAATAGCACATGTTTGGCCCGTGCCATAGGCAAGCCCGTGTGACGAAGTGCATCGGAGCTTGAAGCGAAATCCGTCCGCTTCTACGGATAGTTCCGAGCCAACCACAAAGGTCTTGAAGCCGCGCCCTTCGGACACCTCAGAAGCTGGATCGTGCGTAGGCCAGATGGTTCCTGCCCAGAGCCCCAGCAACGAGCCTTCCGTGCCGACCGAGCACTACTCGTTGCCTGCAATCAAGAATTCGGACGGCGAGGCTAGTGACCAGGACTCAGATTTCGAGGCCTCTGGCGAGCCCTCTGATGATGAAGAGTCGGTTCAGTCTGATGCCACGACATTGGTGCTTGGTGAACGCCCGACGTCACGGGTGAAGAACAGTATGAGGACCCCGCCGGCAAAGGCACCCAAGTGGATCAAAGGTATGGACACATTGGTCACCCCTTCTCCGGTCCCGATGCAATCGGCTACGGCTAGATCCTTAATTGCTTCATCCATGTGCATATAGTCTGAGACCTGCTTACTTCTCGGTATGGATATATTCAGCAGCCCCGACCCGAGGCCAAGCCATCAAGCGGCAAGGACGCTAAGAAAGAGGCGGTGCCTGCTGTCGAGGCCACCAAGATCAAGAAGCTCAAGAAGAAAGGCCACAAGTCCAAGGCCAAGGCAAGCTTCCGGCGAGGAAGCAAGAGGCTTCAGTCCATCAAGATGGAGAAAGCTGCTGCCAGGAAGGCTGCCAAGGCGGCAGCGCTGGCCATGGCGGCGGAGGAGGCGAAGACAGCGGATCAGGGAACGTATGGGGAGGCAAAGTACAGCTTGCTTCACCTTCCCAAGGAAGCCTGGCCGGATCGCTCTCGCGACAACAAGGGTCAGCATTCCTACACGTTGCGATCAGGAGATGCCGCGATCGAGGTGCTGCTTCGCCACGGTGCTTTCTATGTTAAGAAAGTCGGAGCTCAGGGCGAGGGCCCTGTTGGGCAGATTTCCTACAAGCGCCAGTGCCCAAGCGAGGCATGGTGCTCGGCAAAGAAGCGCGCAGGCTTCGCGTGAGTTTTTTTTCGAAGCACTGCAAAGCAGTGCAGCAGAGCGGGTGTGGCATAGACCAGTGAGCCAATTCAGCATTTAAAGTAAAGCACTCGCACTGGTGACAAGCATGATTGGAGCACGGGCAGCCACATGGGGTTTGGCCATCACAGCATAGGATTGCTGCATGGTGCTAGTAGGCCACGTGGGAACACGCGGAAATCATCGTGAGATCGAATTTGCACCGCTGTGTCTGTGCACTGCTGGGAGCATCCATTCGCATCAGTGAGCATCCGATTGCATCAGTTGAGCATGATACTTTGATTGCAGATTTCGATTTCTGTGTCACTAAAACACTGCAATACATGCATGGGCAGGTCCCTGGCAGCTTAGTGGTGCACGCTGCTCCGAAGGACTGCTGCTACTTGCAACAGCTGATGCTTGAACTTTCACATCTACGTAATGTGAGGACCAGGAGGGCATAGCTTCTACGTGTGTGCAGCTGTGCAGCCACTTAGTCAAGCCTGCCTTATATTCGAGCCTTGTCTGTGCAGGAATCTGATCGCGAAGCCAGTCGTCGTTGGCCTTGCGCCACGTTTGCGAGCTGCTTTCTGGAGGGAGGGTTCAGGGCTTATAAGGGTTAATTATAGAAACCCTAAATGCACCCTAAACCCATAAGTAAACCCTGGAAAATATAGGAAGATTGCGATGTACAACGATATGTCTTATATAGTTATTTACATATGATATATGAATCTCCGAAGGACTGTAAGGACCCAAAGACCGCAAGCCCCGAAGAGCCAATCAACCCAAGACATAAAGCTTAGCTTGGAACCTGTTCCGACTCTAATTATACCCCTGACACTAAGTAAAGAACTCGGGTTTGTAAGTCGGTGAATGTAATTCACGGCTCCGAGGTAGAAAATATAAATGGTACATAGGCTTCGAGGGTCTCTGGTTGACTTCGGGTTTGTAAGTCGGTGAATGTAATTCACGGCTCCGAGGTAGAAAATATAAATGGTACATAGGCTTCGAGGGTCTCTGGTTGAAACCGTACGAGACATATGTGATCATCGGGAACACAGCCGCTGGTATCCTTAAGTACTTGCTATGACTGTTGTAGCCGTGTAGAAACGACAACAGATTAAGAAACCAATTCTGCATAGTCCTGAGACCCGCCTGTAATCCTGCATCGAAGACATCTTATAAACCTAAACACTCAAGCCTCAAAGCCTCTGGCCTGTCAACCCGACACTTCCCTCAAAAAACTAGAACACACTCACTGAGACCATCAATCCTAACTACTTTATAGCAGCCCAGATTCAGAAATCGCCTGCATGTATGCTGTATGCCTTGCTAGTTTTCTATGGACGATGCAGCTGTCGGCGCCGCTTCCGACTAAGGCCATGCTCCGGCTCAGTGATTGAAGAACAATTCTCAGCCACCCTACAGGCCCCTATATAAACCTTAAACCCTATATAAGTCCTATGTAAACCCTACAAGCCCCTAAACCCTAGACCCTATATAAACCCTATATAAAAACCCTACAAGCCCCTAAACCCTAAACCCTATAAAAACCCTATATAAACCCTACAAGCCCCTAAGCCCTAAACCCTATATACGCCCTACAGACCCCAAATCCAAAATTGGCAGCAGGGGATATATGGATGCATTATAAACCTTGGAAATATTTTCCCGCACCGGCGGATACTTCTTCGACCCTATAAACCCTTAACCCTATATAGACCCTGGCCCTAACGCGGAATTGAATTGTATCCTGTCCTATATGCAATTATGGCTACTTCGTCCGATGAAAGCAATGTCTGGCTTATGCGTCAGAAAGAGTGGACTGTCAACGGCCTCCGCCAAATGGGAGCACCCAAGGTATCTCGACTAGCTATAGCCCGTCTGAATTCATGACATATAGCGCTTCTACCCAAACGACCTCTGTTTGTTGCGGCGAGGTGGCAATGGTGATGGCCCTGCTCGTCTTCGGTCTTCCTGGCCTCGACTGGACACCCATTGACCACTGCGAGATTTTTGCGGGGGAGCGAGCTGTGACAGATGGTGAGCTAGAGGACTACATGGGCTGGCTGGGATTGCAATGCTGCTGGAAGCTTCATATGGGTTGCCGGGATTGGGGTGTCCGACACTGAAACGTTCTGGGGCTTTCGGGGCTCAGTATAGGTTTCAAGGTTTTGGGAATTTATTGGATGTTGCAGGCTGTTAAGGCGTATAGGGCTTACGGGTTCTCCAGGCTTTTACAGCATATAGGGCGTAGGGGTTCTCATGCGTCGAAGAGTAGCAACAATCCTCGTCAAACCGTCCTCTGGGGTCCATGGGTGCTTTAGTCTTTAGGCTTTATAAGGTTTCGGGGTGCTTTGCACACCAGTTGACTTTGGCCTATAGAAGCTTGCTATCTGCTCTATAGAGGGCGGGAACGGAGTTTGGATAACCTTGATTATATATTCCCTATGTTTCTCCCACTATAATCATTCTGATAGTCTATCACAAAGTTTTCGCTAAAGCTTCTAGCAATCATGCAGGAGGGCAGACGGGCCATCGCTTTCGACATCCTCTACGCTCCAAAGTATATGGATTTCAATA